CCTGATTGAATCAGAGCTTGACTCTGCTTCCTTATAAGTAAAAGGAACCAAATCATCAACGACCTCAACAGATAAAGCATATGCAACTATCACGTCATCATATCTAGCTGGTCGATGAATAACCCTTCTTTGTTTATTAGCTGCAGTGGACTCCTGAACATGACCATGTCCCTGAGTCCCAATATCCACTGTATCCTCCATCTGCCCATCTGTCATCATGTCTTCTCTCAATGTCACCTCTATAGGAGCCTCAATGGATACAATACTATCTGAAGTCTGTGGAGTCACATCATCCTCCACCTCCTGTGATATCCCGCTAGTCTGGCCTTCCTCCACCTGCTAAGGGACTTGAGGCCTCATCATATATAGCTCATCAAAAGTGATATCTCTGCTAATGATTATCTTCTTGTCTTATGGATCCCATAACTTGAAGCATTTAACTCCATCTCTAAAGTCCACAAAGATTGCTTTTCTAGCCCTCGGATTTAATTTCTCACCATTCACATGATAGTAAGCTGAACACCTAAAAATTTGAAGCAACTCACAATCACTAGCTACCGATCCAGACCATAGCTCCATAGGAGTCTTCCCATGTATCACAGTGCATAACAACCTATTTATGAGATGGCTCGTTGTTTGCATTGAAAGTTATTTTCATTGTTGAATCTATTACACGTTTATCGATTACAGATTCAAACTAAAATTAGTCTTTTTATAAGATTTTCTTACATAATAAGAATAAAAAAATACAACTCTTTAGAAACACACATGGTGGACGTTTATCACCTGTTGGTTACGTGGGATCTTGGCCTGTGCCCGGGGTACGTTAGCCCGTGGACAACCGAATCATAGATCGAAATTGAATCGTGAAGAAGGCTTAAGGTCGATGTTTCGTTTTAGAAACAAGGACATAAGTGAATATCTCAATTACGTAAGATAAAATATTTTTTTTAAGATCAAGTCAAAGCTTAGATCTCGAGGAAACACCGAAGGCTCTTGAGGATGCTTGAAAATAATGAAGACTCTCTCTTTCTTGCTCAAAATTCATCAAATTACTCAAGTCTCTACTCTCTCTGCCTTTTCTGCCATGGTTCTCATGCATATAGATGATAGGGAAACATTTATAGTCCATAGAAGCAGTTACTAAAAGGTAGAAAGTCAAAACAAAGCCCACTTGACAGCCCCCTATTTCCGAGACACGTTCCATGTCTTTGAAGAAGGGGGTCAGCCTGTCAGTTTTGTAACCAACTTCCCACATTTAAGTACCATTATTTCTGTAGTTATGAGCATGCTTTTCATTTGTAATAGTCCTCCCACATTCACCCACGATCCCCAATAGTTATGAAGCCACGTGGACCGTACAAAAATCAAGAAAACCGTCAGAAAATACGTCGTCGGCTTCTTAGTGTGCAAGACAGTTTGTGTTGCCTTCGGTATTTTAGCTCTAACTCTCTCGTCCAATCTCGGAATGAGGTGTTCAAGATGCGTTAGAAATCTGGTAAAGATACCTACAACGTTTATATTTTGATATTCTTCAGAATTGAATCTCATCATATCTAAAATGTATGATACATCATTGGTGTCTCGCACTTCTGAAACAGTCTGGACTATCTCGGGTATTTTGGCTCTAACTCTCTCATCCGATCTCAGATGAGATAATTCAAGATGCATTGGAAAGCTAGAAAAAAGACCTACAACTTTCCATGGGTAAGACACACATGGTGTAGGCGAGACACACATGGCGTTTCGCCCCTTTTGGACGAAACACAGCTCCTGACTGAATTGTTTCTTCGTTGTTTTGCTGTTTCACGTATTATGTTGACTCGTACGCTTTTCCGACTTACTTCATGTGCTTGTTAGCTTCTCTATAGCATTGGATAATCCTATTTGACTCGGATAATAACGTTCACCATCTTCTCTTCGTCTCGAGCTACGTACGGGGACCTATAGGCAAATTTTGACGCCTACACTCATATAAACCAACGCCTCGGCCCAAAAGGATCTAGCCAATCCACTCCGTGAGAATATACAATGCACATTCTCTAGTAAGGTATGGTTCAATCTCTCGACCACCCCATTTTGTTGCGGTGCCTCCCTAACTATAAAATGTCACCTAATACCGTGATCCCGACAAAACTATAGAAATAGATCACTCTTGTACTCACCACCATTATTTGAACAGAGTACCTTCATCTTTCTACTTGTTTGCAGCTCCACTTTCTTCTTCCACTCCACAAATATATCCGACCTTATGTTTATGCTTCATAGGGTATACTCAATTCCTCCTGGAATAATCATCAATGAAAGTGACAAAATAATTAGCCTCACCAAGTGATGTGTGCTTGGAAGGACCCCAAACATCAGTGTGAATGTAATCCAATATACCTTGGGTGTTGTGAATTGCGGTACCGAATTCCACTTTTGTCTTCTTCCTATACACAATGCTCACATAACTCTATCTTGCAGGTCTTTGCACCTTTCAACAGCCCCTGTTTTGCCAATACCTGCAGGGACTTATCACCAATGTATCCTAATCTCATATGTCATAAGCTGGTAGTATACTCTTCTGTGGTAATCGAAGCTGCCAGACCTCATGTTACTTTATTGCCCTTCAAGTAGTAAAGCTTGTTTTCTCTAACACCTCTCATCACCACCATGGACCCATTTGTGACCTTCAGAGTTGCATTCTCTAAGATCACGCTATAGCCTGCTGCCTCCAAAGTTCCAAGTGAAATGATATTCTTCGTCAACTATGGAACGAATCTTACTTCTTTCAGCTCCCTAGTCACCTCATCACACATCTTGATTCGGACTATTCTAATATTACCAATAGGGCACATGTGATCATTACCCATGAGCACGACATCCTCTCTTTGCAACTTCTCAAAACT